TCTCTCTCTCTCTCTCTCTCTCTCTCTCTCTCTCTCTCTCTCTCTCTGTGTGTGTGTGTGTGTGTGTGTGTGTGTGTGTGTGTGTGTGTGTGTTGGTGAGAGAGTCAAATGTCCATAAGAGACTCATGGTAGACAGAGACTAGGGTAGGGAGAGGTCAGTCAGGGCCCTTGCAGCAGTCATGAGGGGAGCCTGCAAGTGTCTGGGTGTGATGGGTGTGATGGCAGAGATAGACTTGGTAGTTATGCTTTGGATGCTTTGGAAAAAAAGCTGTGGAACTTACAGGTATGTCAGTAGAATAAAGAACGGTTGCCAGGAAATCTCTATTTTGGAAACTTGACAGTGGCCAGTGGGTAACAGCACTTGAGTGGAAAGCCCAGAAGACGACAAAGCTTAGGGGTCAGGGTCACAGTTCAGTGCCACATGGGCTGGAGATTGGGAGACATCTGTGAATGGGAGAGCATAGCTGGCACAAAGGATCAGACTCACAGGAAGTCTAGAATAGACACATGTCTCTGTCACCTACAGAGGCAGCAGGAGTGACATGCATGTAAATGATGCCTCGTCTTTGACACAAGTTCTCCAATGGCCTCTTCCCTACCCTCTACCCTCACCCTAAACCCGCCTTGCCAACTTTGTCTTTATGGCTTTACATTTTCACTGAGCCACTGTCAGATTGGTACCCTGAGGTTTCTGGATTGATCTTTGTCTCATGGACTTCACAAACAGAAGGAAACCACACAGCAGAGTCTCAGTCACACATGTCACACCTGCCTGAGCGTGTCATGTGAGACTCTGGTGCAATGAAGGCAGCTGATACCTGACACATGAAATAGATTCATGGATAAAGCTTTTCATGGCTTAAAAATGGAAAGGCAAATTTTACATTTGAGTAGATGGTAGAACACAGCAAACATGCTTGACAGCACTCTGCCACCAAGGCGAGATCCATAGCAGCAGCTAACATTAAAATACGTATAACTGTAATTCTTCTTATGAAGACTTGGCTGCTCTTCAGATTTCCAGTAAATGACCAATGTCCTCCAGTTACTATGAATTGATTTTGTGTTGGTTTTTTTTCTTTAAATTTTGTACACCTGGGTATTTTACCTGCACGTATGTCTGTGCACGTCATATGTAAAATTCCTGCACAGATGTTGGGTCCCCAGAAAGGAAAGCTGTAGATAGATGTGAGGGCTAGGAATGGAATCTCCATCCTCTGAAAACTAGCTGATGCACTTCTGAGTCATCCCCCAAGCCGTGGTTATAATGTTGTAACATATGTATCCGGCTGTTTGTTTCCATTTTAGTTTTTTTAATGCATCTTCTTTACTAAGCAGCCAACCATGTTCTTGGGAAGAATATCATAACTCTAAGGAAAAAATTATGGTTTCCTTTTCCTTTTGTAGCACTGGACATCAAACACACCTCCTCACATGCTCTAGGAGCCATACCCACAGCCCTGCTCTCCATTGGAATGGCTTCTTCTCCAACTCCAATCCTCCAGGCAGTGTTTTTCTCATTGAAAAATTGGGTTACAAAATAAATAAAAAGATTACTGGGAGAATAAAACCTTTGGTACAAGATAAATTAACCTCCAGTTTCAGGTGCTACCACAGTGAAAAGGAACTTTGGACTTGCTTTTTTGTTTCCAGAGTCTTTCCTGATAGCCCCTAAACTTTGGTGTTTTGAAGAGGTTAGAAGGTTCTCTACTAATAGAAATAGACCACACAGAAGACTTCCTTGCAGCTGTTCACTATAAGGTAGAGCGTCAGCAGATAGCAGTGGGACCCCTGACAATGAGAACAGACTTCTCTGAGCTAATAGTACAGACATGCAGCCCTAGGACATGGTTACAGAACACAGATAGTCACGGGTCTATATGAGCTGTGCTTGCCTTAATCCTTCTGTATCACGGCTTTGGTGAGGGCACATGGGCAGTGGGCATCCCAGGACATAGGTGTCTCCATGCTCTTACCTCCAGCCTGGTTCTGTGCACATATGCTGCTGTAGAGGGCTTGGATATAAGAGTCCCATATAGTGAATTAGAGGAAAGGAAAAGACACCCACGTGGGTGGAGCATCTGCTCAGGGCCACTCATTCTTCACAGCAGCCTGATAGGCTGATGATCCCCACACTCTAGATGACAAAGACTCAAGGGATTTCATAACTTATCCAGAGTCCTGCAGCTGCTGTGATAGAATTGCAAATGGAACCACCAAAGGAAGAAAACATACTAGAACCCCCTACTGTGCCTCCAAGATTCTCCTGTCCCTAAAGCCAAATGCATCAGAGCTTCTAATTGTGGCACCATGGCACAGACGCTCTGGAGGACAGCCAGGCAGCGTCTTCATTGTCTCACCAAGTGTGCTAACATGCTACCCAGCTCACAGACACTGCATGGTACCTGCTGCTAATGGCACTGGCATGTCACATCCTCCAGGGGACTCATGATTGGGTCTTCCCTCTAAACCAGCTCTTCCAGGAACTGGGCCACTGAGGCTGACCGCTCCTAAAAAGTCTATGAAAAAGTCAGAGTCCAGGTGAACTTTTCTCAGCCACCTGAACTCAAGATGGCATTTCCCTGAGAGACCTTCACTGAGGTGAACTGCCTCAGCTTTCCTACCTTTACTAGACTACGCACAGAGCTTTAGTGATCTCCAGTTTCTTGATAGTTATGCTTTGGAAGAAATGCTGTAGAACTTACAGATATGTCAGTGGGATAAGAAAAGGTGCTAGAACCCCCTTTCCTGTAGACTCTGAATCAAGCCAGACACAAGTCTGTCCTGCTCTGGACTGTGGGCATCTCAATACTCAGTCTAGGGGGAGGGGTGTGTGTGCAAAGATATACCCATAGACAGTAGGCACCAGCTCTGATTGGTCAGACACCAGGCAGCACCACCCACTCATGTTCCAGGGAAAGGTATTGCTTATTATCCTTCCAGGAGGAGGGAGAAAAACTCACAGTCTTGGAAACCCCTTGGGGGCCACAATACCTGGGCTTGTGGTTGTCAGTGTTCTGAGGTCCCAGGGCTCATATGAAAGTTTCAGACTGTAAACACATACTAAGGGAGCATGCTAGAGAGGGGACATGCAGCATGCATAGCAACAGAGATATATTCTTTGGCCATAAATTATAATCCTCACAAGCATAGAGCTAGGCATTTCCCTTTCCGATTCTTATCTTAAGTAAGTATTGGGGTTGGTTGGTTGGTTGGTTTGTAAAGGTCAATGAATAGTGGATTTGCCTGTCCTGTTGATTGGCAAACACAGCAAACCCAACCTGCATCAGGACAATGCCAGCAGCTACTCAAGTCTAATCAGAAATAACATTTCTGTGCACCTTTATTACCTGCTATTAAGTAATGAGTGGTGGTCAGTGGAGTGAACTGAGACATTGCAGCCAGTCCTGCTTTGTAGTCTGAAGCCCAGTGACTCTAAGGCCCAGTGACTTATACTTGAGCAAAGTACTACACTATTTTATATAGTGGCTAACACTTACATTCCTCTGACCTGGACTATTCTAAGGAACAAAGCCTTGAAGTTACTCTTTAGCCCTGTGCCCCACTATACTCTTGAGCTTTTTGGAGAACAATACTTTCCAACACACAACATAGACGCAGTTACTAAATGACATAGGATTACTTGAATTCAAGCTCACTGTTGTGATCACGAGGATGCCCCTATAGAACTAATGGATGCATAGTGTATACATCATGGATACATTGAACAAAAGAATCATTTACAACCTGGACAGGATGGAGTAGGGCAGTGGGAGATGTCAACATTTATGATCATAGCTTTGAGATTTTGTTGTTTGTTTGGAGTCTTTTAGGGAGAGAGAGAATCTGAAGAGATAAAAGAACAACTTTCCAGAGTCGATTCTTTCCATCCACCATGTTTGTGGATTCCCAAGATCAAACTTCCCATCAGGCCTAGCAGCAAATGCCTTTACTCGCTGAGCCTTCTTGCCAGGCCAACACACAGTTTTAAACTAAGAATTACTTCTAAAATGTCTGTTTACACTTTCATGCCACAGTCAACCATGGGTAAACAAAACCTCACAAGGGGTGGGCACTGGGGCAAGACTGACATGAGTCATCCTAATGCCCTTTTGCCTGGATTCTGTTTTTTTCGATGGAGCTCCAGCACTGAGCCTCTGGGTCTGTCACTGTGACTGTGGTTCAGTTTGCTGTCTGAAGTCCAGAGTGATAACTGCCCTGTGCACACAACAGATCAGCTGAGTCACTGGGGCTATGAAATTATAAAAAGTCAGGGCTGGAAGGGACTCACTCACATTCAGCCACCCTCACCGGCATGCTGTGACGAGGGAGGAATCACGGAGCCTACACTTAGCCCCGGTGAACAGCAGAGCACACTGGGATAATTCTGCCCAGAAAAGGAAAAGCAGGCACTTCTGTTCCCAGAGAAAACAACAGGGACACTTTGGGCCTCCCTGCTACAGTCAGGTAGGGGGCTGATTGTCAAGTTCCCTGGGCAAGGTGGCCAGCTTTCTTACTTGACTCTACTTTTAACTCTCTCTCCTGTTGGCATCATGCAGAATTGGTCTTCTCTCAGTGACCCTGGGATAACAGGTGACAGTAGTCCTTCTTCTCAAAGAAAAGAACTTTATAGTAGGGACAGAGAGTCTCTAGAAATGAAAAAAAAAAAAAAAGCAAAGTCCCTGTCTGAATTCCGAAGGACTCATCATCAGTCATTTCAAGCTGGTCTCACCACCTGATTGATCAGGGGCCTGAGGACAAGGGCTTAGGGAGCCTAAGGTTGAGAGACAAAAGCCTTGGTCTGGGGGCCTAGGAACGGAATGATGGAATGTACACTATACATACACAGACAGACAGACAGACACGCACACACACATACACACACACACCAGTATCCTCTCTCTAGGATGGGCAAAGCTTTCTCTCTGGCACCCAAATTCTTGGGAAATATTCTCACAGAGACTTTGAGCCACACAGACGTTTACAGCTCAAAATGGGAGATGGGAAGAAAATTGAAGACCATATTCACAAGGCCTGGCTTTCATGGAGGGCTGTACTGGGATCTCAATGTCCCAGTGACTTTGGCTAATGGTGCCTAGGTTGCCTTTCTTGAGATCTGTGGCAGTAAGGTCTCTGGTCAGAGAGGGGCTGGCCATGGAGGAGGTTATATCTGTGTGGCACCAGTTCCTGGTGATGGATGAGTATGAATGAAGACACAGAGGTGGCTCTGGGACTGACAGTAGGTCAGGAGAGATCAGTAGGGTCCCTGGCAGACAGAAGCAGTTTTCACTTGAGATTCCTTCCACATCGGGGTGCAGGTACCCCCACCCCATCAGCCATATCTCTTTAGAAGCCCCACAGCTGGCTTTCTGTGTGGCATGGTATCTCCGGAAATGGCATGTAGTGGGTAAGTTCTTAGCTTAAATGGGCAGCTTTCCACAGGAATAATATAAACCCTGACCATCTGATATTAGCAGGTGGAGTGCACACAGGTGTTTTTCTAACAGGCTTTTTTCTGCCTTGGGATTGCACTCTCTGCTCTGTCACCTAGACTGGTCCTGACCGGTGAAACCTCCTCTTCCCTTGTTCCAAGGATAGGTTCATGTTCCTGCCAAGCTTGGGACTGTCCTAGGAAGATGGAAGTTGAGGAGCCTTGCCACAATGCAGGGCTGGGATCTCTCTGGTATTGGTTTACAGAGGCCTGTTTTTTTTTTAATTCCTCATGAAAGAAAAGACAAAAGATTCAGACTAGCAGATGTTAAACTACAGCTTGGATTTTCTGAAACATAATAGTGCATGCCCATAGAAACTGGAGATATGGTTACAGAGGGCCCAGGATAGGTTGGGGACTAGAGGAGTGGCATGTTCAGAGTGTAAGCTTTCTCTTTGTTGGGATGACAATATCCTAACATCAGCTGTGCAAGGGCTGCCTGTGTCCATGAGCACACTCCAAACAATTGGATTGTACACTTGAAATGGGTACACGGTAGGGTGTATCCTCTTTCAATAAAACTATTTAAAGTACCAAGAGATGACAGACTTAGCTGAGGGTGAGCTCCTGAATATTGTCCCACTCTCAACTGGACTCAGGGTCCTAGGACCTCTGACCTCTCTTTCCCTGTATTCCATGAAGGACCCTCCTTTTAGGATCACACATAGAATGTACCCCTCTTTTCACACATCAGGGGACAGAGAGGTCCTCCTGAACAGCCTCAGGAGCAGAAGGTCCCTCAGAAGCCCCAAGCCTCCAAATGCAGCCTCCATAGCTCCCACCCAGCACTGTTGAAGTCACCATCTACAGTTCCCAGGGGCTGAGCAGCTCTCACTACCTAGCAGAGTTATGGTTGAGCTTCTCTCTAACATTATGCAGATTTTTATATTGTATTTTTTTTTGCGTTGTTGAGCTAAATAAGACAATTATTGGCCAGTGTCTTAGTCAGGGTTTCTATTCCTGCATAAACATCATGATCAAGAAGCAAGTTGGGGAGGAAAGGGTTTATTCAGTTACACTTCCACATTGCTGTTCATCACCAAAGGAAGTCAGGACTGGAACTCAAGCAGGTCAGGAAGCAGGAGCTGATGCAGAGGCCATAGAGGGATGTTACTTACTGGCTTGCTTCCCCTGCCTTGCTCAGCTTGCTTTCTTATAGAACCTAGGACTACCAGCCCAGGGATGGTGCCACACACAGTGGGCCCACCCAGCCTTGATCACTAACTGAGAAAATGCCTTACAGCTGGATCTCATGGAGGCATTTCCTTAAGGGAGGCTCTATCCTCTATGATAACTCCAGTTGTGTCAAGTGGACACACAAAACCGTCCAGTACAGCCAGACATGATGAGCCATACCTATACTCCTGGGTACTAGGAAGCCTGAGGCAGGAGGATGGCTGAGGTTCAAGCCAGCCTTGGATACCAGCCGTCATCTCAAACATCATTAAAACAAAACAAGAGCCAGTGTTTCTCCGAGTATTGCTATTAATTTAGGAACAACAGAGCAAGGCAAACAGAATACACTGATGGGGCTGGAGAGATGGCTCAGCCACTAAAGATTAGGCTCACAACCAAAAATATAAGAGAATACACAGATCATTAAATTACGCCCACATTAAAAAAATATTGAAACAAAGGGAGTTGTTTAAAGGCAAAAATAAGGAGTATGGGGTTGGCAGTGTAACTTGGCTATGATATAGAATTGCCTATAATATTTGAGACCACAGACTATGTCCCAGTGACCAGAATATTAATAACACTAACAATGGATAAATTTAAAACAAAGATGCACTACATCAGTTACTTTGAAACAGTAACTTTGACCACTGTGATTAATAAGGAAAGTGGATTCAGAGTGAGGCAGAAGACATTGCCCAAATAATTGTCCTTGCAGAAGTGCTTCTGTGTGGGGCTGTGGCAGCCACTGTGCAAGCTTAGAGCATGGCAGAGGCTTCTTCCCCAGTGGCTGTCAGTCATGAAGAACAATCCATTGCACATAAGCATTTCTTCTGGGTCTGACCAAAAAAAAAAGCCATTTTAATTATGGCCACCCATATTGACTTTTCACACAAGGCAAGCATGAATAAGTCCAGGAGTCAGTCACACATTAGTTAGTTACTGGATGGTGTGACAAATAGTTGTAAGAAGATACTTAACAGTTGGAGAATTTGTTTGATCTGTGCTTGAGGAGAGAATCAATCATGGCAGGGCAGGTGTGGCTTCTGAGGACCTGGAGGTAACTGAACACATTGTATCCACAGTCAGATAGAGATGAATACTAGAGCTCAGGTCTCTTTCTTCTTATTTAGCCTCGGGCTCTAGCTCTTGGAAAGGCACCAATCAAATTCGTGGTGGGAAGACCCACCTCAGGTCAGCTCCTCTGGAAGCACCTTCACAGTCATACTGGCAGGCTTGTCTCCTAAGGGGCTCTAAATCCCATCAGGGTGACAGCTGAGGTTAACCCTCACATTTGTGAATGAGCTGGGGAAGAGCCTTTTTGATGACTGGCATTTCTGGAGAGCCAGGCACCAGGCCAGGTTGTTTCTCTTGCTGATGTTTCTCTTCATCCCCCAGGAGTCATGTGGCTGGAACTTGTCCTGGCTTCAGTGCTGGGCTTTGTCATCTACTGGTTTGTCTCCAGGGACAAGGAGGAGACATTACCACTTGAAGATGGGTGGTGGGGGACAGGGTCAAAGCCATCGGCCAAAGAAGATGAGAGCATCCGGCCCTTCAAGGTGGAAACATCAGATGAGGAGATCAAGGTGAGACACCCTTTCCCAGACAGGGCAGAAACCAAAGGGGTGGTCCTGCTGTGTTTCCCTGGGACCAGAGTTGGGACATGACTGAGAATGGAGCTCTGGAAATGGACCATCCTGAGGTTTTTCCCTGGCCACTCTTCTCCCTGAGGGTGTGTGCATTTTGTTCCCAAAACAAATTTCCTCCTTACTAACCCCATTTCTCTAGCTACTTCTCCTCCCCCACACGAGGCCCAGAAGAGCTGCTTATAGAACCATGTGTGCACCATAGACTGAAGAGAGCTCCCATCATCCCCCCACCTCCTGGTCTACCCACTTGTGGCTGGTGCAGCTTAAGGGACAGAGTGAGCAGATGTCCCTGGGCTGATGTGGAAGTCACAGCTACACAGGGGAGAGGAGCTGAGGACATGCAGTACCATGTAGATCATGGGGTCAGCCTTGGGAAAGGCCCTACAGTGTGGCCACCACTCCTGGGCCCACCATGTCCCTATACCAATCCTGCCCATTGACACCTGTTGTGGCATCTCTCAAAGGTGGGCCCTGAGGCTAAGAATAGTACAGCAGGGGTTCCAGGTGCTGGAGAGCACAGGCTGAGGATTACAAGTCTCAGGGCCCTGGCCTTTCCACACAGAGCCAGAGTCAGAAAGGAGGGGCTGGTGGGCAGGGGAAGGGAGAAGGAAGTCTCCTGAGGGAGCCAGTCATTCAGTCGAGGTCACAAGGGATCAGACTTACATGGCCTATCCTTTCCTTCACCCTGTGATCCTTGGGCAGCTACTGTGTCCAGGTGCTCTGCAGAGTACTGGGAGATCACAGAGACCCTTCCCTCACACCGCTCAGAATTTAGCATCCATACACGATAAGGTAATGAATGCGTCAAGAGATACAGTGACCAGTGATATCAAGAGATACAGAGATCTCTGTCACTGGGAGATTAATGTCACTGGGGCACTAACAAAAGGTCACAGAAGTTCCCAGGAGGAAGGATTGTGAGGGGTCTGGACTGAAGCCAAGGGCAAGCAGCTGAGGTTCATGAGCTCTGAGGATCAGTCCTGGATGGAGCCTAAGGTTTGCAAACCTGTTTGGGGAGCCCAAGGGACATGAAAATCTCTGTGAATAATGACACTGAGCCACTCCTTGAGTGGGCAGGCATGTCCCTTGGCTGGAATACTGAACTTTTATCTGCATCCATGCTTTTGGAGCCTGTTCCCTGGGCAGCCCATTTCATCTTTGTTAGGATCATTCGAGCCTGTACATCGATAAGAGGCTCACCATGGCTCAAGGGCAACCGCAGGCTGCCACCTGCTCACCAACTGCACATGAATAGCTTATGTGTCTGTAAAAAGGTGTGGGAAAAAAATCAACAGAAGAACTACAATAATCACTGCTCCTGCAGGGGTCACCTGTGCCCTCAGCCTCTCTGCTCCTGCAGGGGTCACCTGTGCCCTCCGCCTCTCTGCTGCTTCAGGGGTCATCTATGGCAGGTCCTTTGTTTCAGGGAGAAAGTGAAACCCTTCCTTCTCCTGTACAATCTTGCTATTTCAAAAGTTTGCCATTTGCATGACTATAGGTGGTTTGGTGCATGAAGTGAGTGTTGTTCAACATCCAAGAAATGAGAAGATGAATGGGATCCAGCTAAGAGGGAGAATGCATCGTGTGTGGCATGTCTCCCTGAATGCCCCCCAAACCCATTCCACCGACACAGAGATAGAGGAAAGGGGGAGTCCCATTAGCCCCACAAGGATCCAGTGACACACATGGGTGCCTTGTGTGGCTTCTCCATGGTGACCATCTATGGCTGCAGGGTTCCCTCTGAGTTGTGCACACAAGTGCTCTCCTGTCTCTGTCCCCCACCCTGGCTTCTTCACTACAGGACTTACATCAGAGGATAGATAGGTTCCGGGCATCCCCACCTTTGGAGGGCAGCCGTTTCCACTATGGCTTCAACTCCAACTACCTGAAGAAAGTGGTGTCTTACTGGAGGAACGAGTTTGACTGGAGGAAGCAGGTGGACATCCTCAACCAGTACCCTCACTTCAAGACCAAGATTGAAGGTGAGATTCCAGAACAGCAGCCAGGATGGGAGAACAGGGATGGGTGTGAGTCTCAGGAGCAGCCTTCCTGCATAAGTCAACTGTGCTGTATCCCCCCAAGATCAAGTGGTCGGTCACCGAGACCTACTGTGTTCACCATCTTGCCAGATGTACAGATCATGCTGAGTCAGCAACTGTCCGTCTATAGCACTAGACAAAAGGGCAGAGCAATGGTTGTGTAACCAGAGCCCTGCCAACTGCAGCCCGCAGTGTGTAGACATCTGTGAGCAGAGTCTATCCAGGAAGCCTGGGGTCTGGTCATGGCCAGCCTCAGCTCAGCCCCTGATAGAGTTTGAGGCTAGCCAGCTCTATGGTGCTCAGTGGTCAATTCTGTGATAAACTGTCCTGTCCACCCATGACCCTCAACCTCATAGCCCAGTCTTCCCACCTGCTGTCCCTGAGACTTCCTGCCATGAAGAGAGGAAGTTAACTCAGGGTCATTTTGTCTGAATTAATACTTTCCTTAGTAGAAACCAAATTTTTAACAACACACAGACTCAGCAGAGTATGTTTAATAAGACTAGACAATGCTTTTCATTTTTTAATCCTCTTATTTTTATTGTGGTGAAATCATGCCTTGATGATCTCTAAGTGCACAGTTCAGTGGCTCCGTGGCAATAAGTGTCAAGTTCCATGACATTAAGATGATTCACTGTTGGGGAGGCTCTGTATCTAATTTAATAAGATTAACAATAATGATGGTAACCTTAAGTTACTATATTCTAAGTATTACAATGGCAGCCCTGTCAGTGTGTCTTCATCCTAGACACAAATCTGTTGTCCTTAGGTGAGCTTCCAGCGAGAGCCTGTGAGCATGCAAGCATGGATGTGTGTTTGTTTCTAATTTTAAAATCAGATGATGTGGCACTAAAATTTGAGTTAAAAAAAAAAGACTTCATTTCAAAAAATAACCACTTAAATGAACTTGAAGTTGGCAATACGTTTAGCAACAGAGGGGGACCTGGGAGATATTAAGTGGGAAAATTAAGGTTCCAAAATGGAACAAGCATAGTCTTGTTAAAAGGGAGTTCTGTTCTGGAAGCGATTCTTAGAAATGTGGACTATACTAAAAGAAACCTAAGAACACAGGTCAGTCAGGGTCCTGGGTAGGATCCAGAAAAGCAAGGTCAGATTAAATCCTGGAATCCTGAACACACAGCACTGAACATGTATATCAATGTCACACAGTTTAGAAGGGGGAGGCTGTGAAGACAGTGTGGTAGTCTGTTTTCCTAGCCCTTGGAAGGCAGAGGCAGGACTGAGGGTCAGCCTGGGACCTGATAGGTTTCAAAAAAGAAAAAAAGAAATTTGTCAGTGTAACACCATGCGCATACCTTAAGGATTTTGTATTGTATTGGGTGACAGCTGTCATTCATAAAGGGCAGACTCATGATTCCACCTATGTGAGGAGTCTAAAACAGAGAAACATCAAGAAGGAGACTAAGTGGGCTGGGAAGATGCTAACCGTGTACAGGATGTTGTTGGGGAGATGCTGACTGTGTGCAGGATGCTGTGGTGGGGAGATGCTGACTGTGTGCAGGATGCTGATGTGATGGCAGACACCTGAGCTCCCGGGATTGATCTTTTTTACAGCCTGACAAAGCCTGCTCAGTCACCCAACAGGTTCTCCAGCACAGGAGTGAGGATTAAAAGAAAAGAAACGATTAGACAAAACTGCAGCATGACCCCAGCCAGTCCTGAGGCTGAAGACTGAGGCAGGTTTGTTTAATCCCACATTTCTTTTAAACCCTTTTAATTACATGCAAGTATTTAGGTCAGTTCTAGGTTGAAGAACCAACAATACAATAGAAATAAACAGTCAAGGAACAAACAAGGCAATAATACAGAGTCCCGTGATCACCCTGTGATCACTCTTGCTGTTTCTAAGGGCTCATCTGGATGACAAAAATATCTGAGCCTACTTCCCTGTCCTAGCCCACAGTCATATTCAAGCCTGAGGCCTACTTCTTTGTTTTAGCCTAAGACTTAGATTCTAGACTGAAATTACTTCTCTGTTTTAGCCTAAAAATAGACTCCTGCCTGAACTTACTTCCTTGTCATGGCCCAAAGTCAGATTCCTGCCTAAAGCCCATTTCCTTGTCCTTGGCCAATGTCAGATTTCTGCCAATCAGCCCCAAAGGCTCTCCACATCTCCCCCCTTTATATTATTTAACAAGACTGAGCCTGTCTTCAGTCATTTTGACAGCAACGCCCCCCTTAGCGGTCATTGAATATGCATTATCAAAAGCAATGCACTTCTGTCTTAGCTTGGTAAGGCGCTTCAGAAGGTTGTCTGTCATTGGCTTGGCAGCCTGTTAAATTTGGGGGTCCATTTTTAGTTTCAAGCCATGCACTTTGGCTGCCAGCATGTTGATGTGGTTAAAGACAAGCTTTAACGTGGGGAGCAGGAATTAAAGTATTCCCAGGACAAAAAGGGCTAGCATGATCAAGCTATATATGTCATTCTTGAAGCTTGACCAAGATGGAAACACTGACATCAGGCCATGAATAATTTTATCAGCAGTATCTCCTGGATCAAAGCTCAGTGGAGCAACATTCTTTAAATTGATAATCTCAGTGTGCAAGGCTAAAACATCCAAAGAGGTGTTAGAATTATGTCAAGTACCCTGCAAGTGTCTCTGAACCTTTTCCCAATTATAGTGGCTGTCATTGTAAATTTTAGCAGTAACACAAATCCATTGGTATTTGGCATGGCCCTCGAGATGGCTCCTTACATTTAAACCCTGAACCTTCTCTCCAATAATATGAATAGTATCATAAAGAGCATCAATCCATTGTTCCAAACGTCTATCTAAATTCTCTTGAATACTCAGAATATTAGTAACATTTTTTGCTAGATGATTAACAAACATAGCTGTCTTAACTTCCTGTGTCAAAGCAATTGTGGAAGCAGTGGTACTAGCTATCAATGTAATCAAAGCTGCTATACCAACAATAATCAAGTCCACTACTCTCTTGCTTCTGCTTAAAGCATGACTCACTTCTTCCAATACTTGTAAACCTTTTTCAGAATACCAAGGTTCTGAAATACTAACTGGCAATAAAACAAAAGCTGGTTGATAGACCACCATAACAGGCATCCCAGATTTCAACACACTAACACAATTAGAAAGTGTACAATCAATACAACTTACATTGAATACAGTAGAAGAGATAAAAGTAATTTTAACATGACCAATTAATAAAAGATTAGGAGCTTTAACACAAGCACTAACACTTGTTGTCAGTCCAGATCCTGTCCCGATGTTATCTATAGCCAGTGTGACTTCATAGAGAGCTGCTGCTAACTTCCAGACATGTCTCTGAAAATGTCCAGAACCAGCCCTCCAAATGAAGACTGTCATTTCCAATATTGGATTGATTTCTAGGCCAGTCCATGAATGAGTCAGAATAAATGGTCACAATAAAGGAAGTGGAAAGGTCATTATAACTTCTCTTTTTGATTCTCTGTCCCACAAGGTCTAAAAGCTTGAGGCAAGGCAGCTTGTCCAATCTGGGATATAGGCAAGCAAAGGTGGGTCAGGAACGTATGTCCAATACAGCTTCCCAGTCACCATTGTCAGGGAAATCAGCAAGCACACAGGTCAGCATCATTCTTGGTCCCAGCATCAGCATGTCTCACCAATCATTCTGGCAGCTAGCATGCTCCTTCAGCATCCTGCAGAAGAAACACAAACATTCCCTCTTCCCCATATTACATACCTGATCTGGGTCATGGCATATGCCTGTAAGTGGATCCTTCCATTTCACCTAGGCATAAGTATGCCAAGTTGTAGGATGCCATAGACACTCAGTTCCTTGGCTTCCAAATTTTAAAATTTTAAAATAAAAGAACGTGATTTAAATAAATTAGTGGTGTATGGGGATATAGCTCCCCTTTTTTATTTTATGAAGATATTGTTTTAAAGTTTTACAATATCTGTTTCTTAATATCTAGTTCTTGATTAAAATGGATTTTAGTAATATGGATAATGTTAAATTGTTGACAAAACATCTCAAACGTTTGACTGTAATAGCCAGTTCTATTATTTGTTTAATCTGATTTGGAACAGCCAGTATAGAAAAACAATGTAAGCAATGACTCATTATATTTTTAGTTGTTTCTCCTGTTAAAGCAGTTGTAACTAGAAAGCCTGAAAAGGTGTCAATAGTCACATGTACATATTTTAATTTTCTAAAGTCAGAAATATGAGTAACATCCATCTGCCATAATTGATTAGGTATAAGTCCTCGAGGATTAACACCATTATGTGGTACAGGAAGAAATTGAGGACATTCAGGACAAGTCTTTACAATTTGACATGCACATTCTCTAGAAATACCAAATTGTTGTCTCAAGCTATTACTATTTTGATGATGTAGAGAATGAGATTGTTTGGCTAACTGTTCCTGTGCAAGGCCTATAACCTTCCTGGTATATAAATCTGCTGTGGCACTGCCCTCACTAAGGGGTCTGGGCAGTCCAGTATGAGCTCTTAGATGTCTTACAAAATAAGGAACTGTACATTCTCTTAAATTAAGTTGTATTTGCATAAGTAATTGCAAAATTTGAGAATTAGCAGTATCTAAAAAAGGAACAGTTTCAAGTAATTGTAAACCATGAGCTATATATTGGCTATCAGGATACAAATTAAAAGCTTGGTTTTTCAGTGTTTCAAAAACAACAGCTACAGCACATAGTTCAATTATTTGTGCTGAAGCAGGAGGAAACTCAAGAGAATGAACATGAGATCCTATCACGTATGCTGCCTTCCCATTAAATGAGCCATCTGTAAACACAGTAAGTCCATTTTCTATGGGCTGCATGCGTAAATTTATAGGAAATACAAAAGCATGCATAGAGGAAAACTGTAATAACTTATCTTTTGGATAATGGTTATCAATTTTTCCTGAGAAGTTTGCACATACAATAGGCCAAATATCAGTATTCTGCAATAACC